AATATGGTAGTACTTTGTGAGATTTTCTCCATTTTAAATTCTCTGTGTCCTCCTTAATTGTAGCTAGGGTTATAATAGTAAATGTCATCTTATTTTCTAATAAGTAAAAAGTAATAATAATTTTACTGCCTGCAAGATTTGAACCTCGGTTGCTTTAAACAGAGACAAGGGTTGTACCCAATCACACTACATTAATTTTTGTATGCCTTTAAATTAAAAACACACATGAAGCTAAAATCGGGAAATTACAGAAATTTTTCAATGGTTAGCTAGCCAAGTAAAACTCCGATAAGTACTTATTGAAGTTCGATACTTCAATTTTTATATTGTGATTATTTTAATAAACGTTTTTTTGTAAAGGTGAAATTCATTAATTAAATAAGGAGTTAAGAGTTAAACAAGTTACACAACGAAGACACATTCAAGCACCAGAGACAACAATATAAACAACCCCTAACTTCGAAGACACAAACATAAACAAACCAACAAAGAGCAACAGGGCCAAATAAGGATAACTTTAAAATCACAACTCAAATATCAATGGTTCGAATATTGCATATCACAATCCAGTATTGAATATGCATAATTCTTATTAATTTTAAGAACTACTATGAAGCAATCATATTCATATCTTTGTGCGATCTCAATGACACTGGTCCTTTGAACGTTTTAGCCTGGTAACTGCTAAGTTTTAAACCCCTTTCTAATCTGGCATGATTGGATCCAACAATCATTATACGAGGTTAAGTTTAATATGTTTGTTCATTGCACCCTTTTTATGTATTAATGAATATGTTGGGCAAAGACACGTCTACATATACACTCTACACAATATATAATACTGGAATGAGAAAATTGTTTCCCCATTTCAAATTTTCTATATCGAGACTGAAAGTATGAATGATATTTTTGTCTTCAAAATTATTTATCTGTATTATTTATACAAAAATAGAAAAAATTGGGTTTTGAACCAATGTATCTTCAAATAAAGACAAGACTCATAACCATGATTGTCAACCCGAGTTTGACTCGGTCGATCGAACCAATTATTCACAAACCGAGTATCGTACTAAGCGTGGAAGGCCCAATCGGTTATCTACCTAGGCCGACCAAACCCTGGAAAACCCAATGAAATCAAGAAATTCGTCTGATTCAACCAACTAATCCGAGCACCGGACCACTTCAAAACGACATCGTTTTCAACAAATCGTATTCGTAGCTCCATTTTCGTGGCATCCTTTTCCTAATCACAAACCCTACAGCAACAAACATAAAAAAAATCTTATGTTTGACTATCTCACTGTCTCTTCTTCCTTTAGGTTCGACAGACGGCAATACAAGGCTCAACCATCTCATAAACTACCCCAATCCATCAGTAGTCAACTCTATTTGCGTTCCAGCAACACTATCATAGCGTCAACTGATCTCATCTCATACAAAGAAGCAAAAAAGTTTAGAAGAACATGCATTTGGATTGAGATTTTGTGTGACTAATAAATGCCAAGTTGCTCATTTGCATGTGGGCTCTTTGTAGGAATTGTGATCTCAGTTGGTTTAAGAAGTCATGACAAGATTGGAAGATAAAAATTCGATCAGATTATTCAGGTGACCACTAATCTACATATTGTTTGAACTGGTACAAGAATTTTTTATAGGATAATGTCTATTTTTTATCCAAAGCTTTTTCGGATTCTTTTATATTATCCAAACCTATCGAAATACTAACAATTAGCCAAATGTTAACTTTCAGTTAGTAATTTTGTTAGTAATATTGACTTAACAACTTGATACTCACTTGGAATACTCATGAATGTCAACATTTCCAAAATTTTAATATTTTAACTAAGGAAAGAGTTACAAAATTATTAACGATAACATAAATATGGCTAATATATTGATGCATTATGAAAGATTTTGATAATTATTAGAATTTTAATAGGTTTGGATAATATAAAAGAATCTGAAAAAGATTTGAATTAAAAATAGACATTATCCTTTTATATATTAGAATCTTAAAATTTTGGAGAAAATATGTTTTTTGAAGGAAAGGAATGAAAGGTTGACGATCGATAACTAGAAAAAATTGGAAGATTATGAGAAATAGTAATACCATGGGGGTGGGTACTGGAGTGCAAATTGGAGAAAACTTGACAATTGCAATTACGGGGATATTAATCATGGTAAAGGAAACCGTAACGGACATCATACCGGATTCCTTTCTGGTATGGTATTTTGTGGTACGACCGTGGTTCAACCATTTTGTACCGGTAAATATCGTTTTTCACTATTGATAGAGAAATGAAATGCGATAGTATAAAAAATATAATCCATAAAAAAAAGAACCAAATAGAGCATTATACAACCACGGTGACCCATTTTCAACATAGAAAAATAGCAAAATAATATTCTTTGTAATTATTTTCCACATATTGGACGAGAATACGGAGAAATGAAGCTGAATCATAGACCAGGAAACCGGATCATACCGGCCGGTTCAACCGGTCAAACCGAAAAAACCGGCCGGCAAGGTAAAATCAGCACAATAAGCCCACCGTACCGCTTTTGGTCCAATTTTCGGTTGAACCGGTTAAACCGGCCGGTACGATCCGGTTTCCTGGTCTATGATATTAATACTTTTTTCCTTCTATAAATAAAATTTACAACACAAAGAATTTAGGTAACTTTATGCATAAAATCGGTAAAAATCATTCGATTGAGTTATTAAACTTTGTTATTTTATTCTTGGTCTGGGCATATAGTTAATTAAAATGAAAGGTGTTGTAGTACTTCGCACAATGATTCTATCTCACCTATATCAATAAATTACTACAATAACTATTTTTATGCTTCTATTGTTGAAGACGATGTTTGATCAGTTATATAGTCCTCCTTTACTAAACATCAGTTATATAGTCCTCCTTTACTTCTCTTCCTGTACCAGACTTTGAACTTGAATGGGTTTTTGGTCTTCGTCCAAGGCAAATCGCTTAACATATGTATGTCATTCATTTTTTTCTCTTTGTCCCATGGTTTTATCTTACTTATTAATAACAATAACGACTTTTATTTTCAGGTTGTATCATGAGAAGAACATGCAGAAGATCTATTTATTTTGATCCTATTGTGTAAACGATGTTTGAAACCCGGTGGATCTCTTACGTCGTTGCTCCTCTTTCTGTTCTTAGGTTTCAACTTCAGTGAGGCTTTTATCTTCATAGAAGGTTCATTGAGTTGAACTGGTAGGCTATTATTCCCTTCCCAATTTATCTAAGTTGTTTGTGATAGATTTATAAAATATAGAAAAGGAATTTGAATGGTGGTTTGGGTGCTTGATTTGTTTGAAATCAAATAGATATTTGGGTAGAACACGAGCAGTTGTACTTTTCTATCTCCCTATCTACTATTTTGTTGTTTGTTTGCTGTATTTTTTTTTTTTTTTGGTTCTTTGGTTAGCTATTGAAATAATAAAATAATATCACCATTTTATTTTTCCAGTATAATATTTCCGCTCAGGATTTATTTTATCATAGCTAATGTTCTCTAGAACCATATTTTTCTTCATTTATCTCGATTCTTATGGTCCACCTCACCGATCAAATTTTGATATTGTTTTAGGATTAGTTAGACACTGTTGATTGGTCGATGTGTTTAGTGTCAATCAATATAATTGCAAGCCACAATGATTGGTAAAATTTAGCCTCCACGCAACAATACTCTGGGAGGTGGTGATGTTGAAATTGGAGTAGAAGAGTTGGGATTAGGTTTGGAAAGGAAGTAGCGGGGGAAGAAATTATGTTCGGATTTGGTAGCAAGTAAAGTTCAACTACATCAGGTGAAGACAGAGAAGAGGGAGTTGGCGAGGGTAGTGATCAAATTGAGGAGGATATTGAAAGACATGAAAGTAAAACTGAAGTAGTTTAAGAGAGAGAAGTGAGAGATGATAAGGATATTTATGAAAATGTAGAGGGTGGCATGGAAGTGATCAGGAGTAGGTGAAGGCAGTCAAGAGGAGGATATGAGCATACTGATGGAATTGGAGATGAGGAGTGGCTTTATCGAGCTTATTACAAATGCCACTAAGGAAGATGAGTTTGCCAAATATAAGAAAAGGTTGAGGAGTTGAAGAGCGAGTTGACAAGAATCCCAATTGGAAGAGAAATTGAGAGCCACATAGAGAAGGTCCATCAAAGTAGCAGAAATAGAATTGCAGGAGAAGGTTTAGAAAGTGAATTTTGAGTTGAAACAAATGTCTCTTGAGATTGCAGATAGAGAGGATAAAAAGTTGGTTTTACAACGAATATTAGTGGCTATTGGTCTTTAGGTTTATGGTTGTGTAGCTACCACAACCTATGTCTATATTAAAATGAGGAATCATTTATTGATTTATTAAAATTAAGGTTGATTCTCTATTCAAACTAATGAGGAGATAAGTAGTGTCTAATTTTGTGTCTTATTAGTTTGATCGAGTCATTAGTATATTGGAGGTAACCTTAATTTTGTCATTTGCACTCAACTTTTGATGGTTCCCTTTTAGTTGACTTATTAGTATATGGTTGACTTGAATCAACAACTCTTTATTTCTTTTTAATTAGTGGCATGCGGTTCCTAAAAGGAGAGCATTGAACCCTTTATGTAGGATTATGAGATTTTAGTTATAGTTTTCAATTATCTATGTGTCGTGTGGGAATTCCAGCAGGTTTTTATACTCTATATGTCCTGACAATTAATTAACCAATAACATTTTAACGGGAGTTTAATTATAATTATGAAATTGAATTAAGGATACATTTTTATATACTTAAATGCTGATGGTATTTCTTCAAATATTCAACTTATACATTCATTGTTTATGTATCATCTCGATCGAAGGATTGCCAATAAAATTAAACGAATTAATAAAGTTAAACATAACATAAAATATAAATATTCAAATACAAACATTCCGGCCAACGAGCAAGCTAGTTTGATTAATTGATTTGATTGATTAAAAGAGTATGAAACCAAACCATCTAAACCACAAAAGTTTAAAAGTTTAACTAAATAAAATAAATTATCCAAATTAACCAAACAAAACTATCAATATACTACCGCTTAAAATGATTACCGCGGTAACCACTCTGTTTGACCACCCCTATACCAAGAAGAGTTCAAGGGTTCTCTGCCTCTGTTCAACTTACGGGGACGGCACAACTTCCAGACAATTTATATGAATGGCTACCTTACAACTCAAGTTACTGTTATCATCTTGGCAAAGAAAAACCTTCCTCCCGACACTCGCCTCTGATGTCTTGCATGAGCCGCTGGAGCAAACTGGCTTGGTTTGTAACAATTGCATCCACTCCTTCCACCAACATCTTCCGCATTGACTCCACATCATCAACAGTCCATGTATACACCTTCTTCTGCCTCCTGTTTTCGATCATTAGCATTTCTCATTATTGCAACAAGCAACAACAAAGACTTCCAATTCAGATCAGGCAGCGAAACTAAGAAAACTGCAGAAGCATACCCTTGGAGAATCCTCACTAGCCCTTCGTCCACCAGTGGATGGTAAACACCGACCACTCGAGCCTCCTTCATCCTTAGTAAGTTGCTTCTCCTACCTGTGTTAGGATCCTTCATCACAATGTACCCCACCTGTAATTCGACAGAAAATAAAAATCAAATCGAAACCCGCTGATCTTGGTGAGGTATAAGTTCATCTCAAACTGCAGCTATGATCTTGGTCCATTACACAATCAAATCGTTTAAAATCAGAAACCATATTAGCCTCAATAATCGAAATCAGTAAATCATATTGGTCCATTTCCTTCTTATCATTACTCTCTAATAATGTGTCCAAGCTAAGCACTAATGGAATAATGGCTCTCCCATGTCATTGCTCACTGTTCACAAACCAACACAGATACACCTCTATGATACAAATCAAGTGACGCTACTTTACCGCAACATCTGATGTTAGTTTGATCAAATCCCTTGCCAGACTGTCACTTTTGGCCCAAATAACACAGTTTCTGCACTTCGCTTTCCCAACCTGAAAAGTTTCGAAGATCCAAATGTCAGCCCTTTAATTCAAATCATAAAATCAGACAATAATAGTCACATGCTAGGCAAAATACGAAAGTTTCTAAAGCAATCTTTTGACACATTTGTATTCCTTCACAGAGGTACACGAGTACATTTTCCCAAAAGAAAAAAGTCATCTATCATCTTTTTTTAGATGACGGCGACTGTTGTTAACTGGAGACAATAGAAGTGTACAAAAGCAAGAACACAATACAGTTAAAGAGACCCGCAAAAGGGTTGCAAGCTCAGAGTACCAAGCAACAAACCAAGGGAGACAAAAGGACGAAGGAGTCCTCAAACAACGAGGCCCCCTAAATGAACAAACCTAGACCCAGTTCTGCAAGTTCTGCAATGGAACGCAGCAAAGAAGGACCAAGAAACAGTATGCATAAAGAGAGATCACGAGAGGACCAGGAACACAAGTAGCAAAGGAAGTTCAGCCACGCAGAATAGTCCTTTACCATCAATGTACCATGATACAAGGTCCTACCATGTCTTTCATTTCAATGATACACTACAAAATGCTCACAGTCTGGAAAATGAGAAAACAGATTTGACACTTTTCTTCAGTAAATTTCAAATGACTTTAGGGAGGTACAAATAGATCTTCATGATATAAAATGTTTCTATCATTGTTGCATAATTGCATCAGGTTCTAAAAGAAAATTGTGTTCAGTATCGAAGTAAACCATCCATAAGAAACAAACACATACATTGAAACAAACAAATGGATAGCCATGTTGATGTCAACCAAAGCCAACAGAGAAATAAAGGAGGCAGGAAAGGAAAATAACAAAGGAAGAGAGCAACTAAAACTTACAACTGAAAGGATGTCTTTTGCAAGTCCTCTTTCATAGGAAGGAGGTCCAACTTTTGCGTCCAGAATCACCTGCCGAACTGAACTTGATACCAACTGTATGGTCCATATATTCAAGGCAAGTTAGCTTGAATTGAAAACTTCGTCACCATATCCAAAGGGGAATGCCTTAAGAAATGCCAGAAAGTAGACTACGGTTGCAAAATGGGAACTTTTACCGTCAAAGCATCTGCAACAGTGGGAATCTTTTGCTCACCGAATTCCAGAGCAGACTGCTGAATGATATCCAGTTTCTCTAACTTAAAAACCAAAGTAAGCAGTCTCATGAATGTGAAGTGGCTATATGATGGCATCAAAGAGAAAACCACATACACACAGAAACAAAGTAAGACGGGCATCATGTCAAGTTTTCAAGCTACACGAGAGTCCACTTAGCCAGGAACAATGAGAGAGCCACAATAAGAACTCTAGCAGGTATATACAGGATCCTCCAACAAGTAATAGCCACTATACTGAAGATGTTTGATCACCACCAATATTTAAACGCGGTCACTACTTACAGCATACCATATTAAAATCTTGGTTAGAGTTCCTAAGGGACAAGAAAATGGTAAATCCTACCCTCAAAAGTTCCGGGGGACAAGTGCCCACCATGAGACCAGCATCACTCTCTATATGTACTATAGAAATTAAGAACCTTAGATGCCAGAATCAAAGCAAAAAGGAAAAAGCTTGTCCCTCCAGCAAACCATTGTGATAGCCACTCACTAGAAAGTACACATTGACCTATCACATAGAGATCTTCCAGCATACTATATGCTCAGCTTTTAAACAATACACTGGAAGAGATTGGTAAATACCAAATGATCGTTCTCTAAGTCCTCATAGGTAACTAGTTTAGCAAACTAGTTTAGCACATTATTTATTACAATTTCCTGTCTGCAGCAGTTTGTAAAGTAACTATCGATCTCGTGCCGGCATTCAAAAATAAAAAGAGCTAATAGGAGGGTCTCACCTCTTTCATGCTGAAGTGACCAACTCTAGCGGTATGATTACCAGATATCTGCTGCAAGTCCCTGCCTGTGACATCTCAAAATCAAGCCTCTAACAAAAACTACAAGCCATCGTACACTTAAACAAGAACATTTTTTAAATGCATCAAAGGACAAGAGTGAACTATCCATTTCAATAACAAACATACCTATCATGGAGCGCAAAGAGGACTCCATCAGAGGAACGCGAAACATCAATCTCAATGCAATCTACATGAGAACGAAGAGCAGACTGATAGGCTGCCACCTGGAACGAGGACAATGAAACCAAAGTGATAAACTGATAATATCAGTCTTGAACTTGCAGGGTGGAAAAAAGGCGCCTTTAGTCATTCAGGGTTGAAGAGGATGTATCAAGCAAGCAGCATCAACGATAACTTTACCGTGTTGGGAAATGCATTAGTTGTATCGCCACCATGAGCACAAACAAGTGGAGGATGATTCAACCAGCCGCATTTCCTTAATTGGAGCTGCATAACAAAACCTCCGGTAATTAGCTCTCTGTCTACATGACTCGCTGGAGAAGATTCGTCATTGTTCCAAAACAACGCGAAAAATACATTCAAATTTCACAGAGTGCTTTGTTATGCAATCAATGTAAGAGAGATCTCGCTTACCTGTTGGAGACGGCGGAGCCTGAAGTGGAAAAAAACAGGTGGGGCGAGAGCGATGAAAGCGAGAAGAGCTATAACTAGACGGAATGTCTGCCGGGAAGTGGGAAATCGAAGAAACGCCGGCGGCGGTGGTCGATTTTTGTTACGGTCGAACACGCCTCGAAAGAAACCTTGCTGTTTCCTTCCTGCTCTACCCAAGGTCGCCATTTTTCATTCGGTAGACAACGATCGAAACGCCGACCCGAAGCTGCGGAAGTGAAGGGAGGTAAAGAGATCTACTTTGTTTTAGCGAAATGAGCAGAAAGAAAGAAGAAGAGCGTTAGAACTTAGAATTATTCTTTTTTTTATTTTTTTCTTGTTCAGAAGAAACGAGAGAAAGAGTCATATGGAGAATGGTCACTTCACACTAAAATTTTTAGACGAAAACGATAGCATTTTGATGATGTAGTTTTTTTTTTTTTTTGTCAAAAGATAATCGATATATTGATAAAAAACATAGGTAATTACATCCTTTCATTGAGCCAGGCCAGCAAATTCACGCAACGACTCGTAGTCGGGTACAAAGAAAGAGTCTTTCTAGCCACCAAGTGGGCTGCCCTATTACTACGCCGACCTACAAACCGAACAGAGAAACCTCCCAACGAACCCAGCAGCCCGACAATCTCCTCAAGTAGCGCCCCCACTCTATTATCCTTAGTGTTGGACTGAAGAATCTTCTGAATAAGCACCTTGGCATCTCCCTCAAATCGCACCTCCACAAACCCCGAGTCCTGGCACCAGAGAACAGCTTCACGAAGAGCAAGCGTTTCAGCAACCAACGGGTCCTCAATGCCTGCAAACTGAAAGCCTCTGGCTATCAGAATGTCCCCCAAGTGATTCTTCACCACCATCCCTCCTGCCGAGTGCGATGCGGCCTTGGTAGCCCCATCCCACAAGCAGATCAGAGGATAGTGTGGAACCTCAACCTCCGGGGCAGCAGGACCACACTGGGCTTTCTCCTTCGGTAGACTAATCCATTCCTGGTACTGCTGGTGATACTACCTCATCAAAGCCGGAAGTCCAAACTGTTTTCCCTCAAACACTACCCAATTCCGGGACCTCCAAATTCGCCAGAGGACAGCCGTAACCGCCATAACCAAATGGTCCTGATGGAGTAGATTCAACAATCTCTTCAGGAACAAGGGAAAAGTGTGACGAGGCAACCCCTGCCCGAGATACTCCAATCCGGCGTAATCCCAGATGGCTCGGGCCACAGGACATTCCAGGAACAGATGCTCCAAGGTTTCAGATTCCGCCCAGCAAACAGGGCAACGGGGGTGCACTTCGATTTTTCTCTCAATCAGCGCTTCAGTGGTTGGAAGGAGCCGATTTAGAATTTGCCAGAGAAAGACCCGAAGCTTCGGGGGGACAGGGGCCTTCCAAACGCAAATCCAACTAGTCCTATCCATCCAACTGACCGAGGACCGGCCCAGGTCATCCATCCTTTCCAACTGACCCGCCAGGTGGTAAGCCGATTTCACAGTGAAAACACCATCCTGCGTGCCATGCCAAATTAGTCGATCCGCAACATTGCCACGAGAAAGAGGAATCTCCTTGATGAGCCGACAGGTGCGAGGGTCGAACCATCGAGCCAAACCCTCATCGCTCCAGGAGCCCTCCTCACTATCAATGACAGATGCCACCCGCAAGACCTCATTTTCAGGCAACACACAGGGATTAAACGTAGGTACCAGAGGATTCAGGCTGGGTACCCAATTATTCTGAAGAAGAGGGGCTGTTTGGCCATTACCAATTTGCCAACGAAGGCCCTGGCTCAATAATTGGCGCCCAAACAGAATACTCTGCCACCCCCAGGAGGGACGAGACCGCGCCTGTGCCTCAAGGAAACCGCTCCTCGGAAAATACTTCCCTTTATACACCTGGGCTAAGAGCGAATCAGGTTCACTTAAGATACGCCAACAAACTTTAGCCAAAAGGGCCTGATTTAAATGCTCAAAGCGCCTAAATCCCATCCCTCCCTCATGTTTACTGCGACACATATTGCTCCAAGACATCCAACTCACCTTATCATGTCCATTCTCCACCCCCCACCAGAATCGGGAAATATGTCTATCCAAGAGCCGGCACAGTGAGAGGGGGAGCTTGAAACAAGACATAACATGGAGAGGAAGCGCCAAGGCCACAGACTTGATTAAAGTCTCCTTCGCCGCCCACGACAATGTACGCTGCTTCCAACCCTACAATCGAGCAAGAAGCTTCTCCTCCAAATAGCGAAACGTCTCCATTTTAGACCGGGCTATAAGGGTAGGTAATCCCAGGTACTTATCATGGACACCAATAGCCCCCACCCCCAGCACCTGCCCCAGGAACTCCTGATCCGGAACAACAATGTTCTTGCTAAAACAAACTGCCGATTTGGCCAGGTTGACCCTCTGGCCACTCAGCTCCTCATACTCATTCAGGACTGTGACAGATTCTCGCACTCCTGGAGAGATCCGCGGAGAAACAAGTAAGAGTCATCCGCAAAGAACATATGGGAGATTCGCGGTGCCCGCGGCGCCACTTTAACTCCTTGCAATCTCTTTTCAGTTATAGCTTTCCTCAAGAGGGCCGCAAACCCCTCTGTACATAACACGAACAAAAGGGGAGAAAGGGGGTCGCCCTGTCGAAGGCCCCGGGAGGGCGAGAAATACCCCTTCGGGGTCCCATTCATCATAACAGAGAAAGACGTCGATTTGAGACACTCGTGGACCCAATCGCACCAAACGGAGCTAAAGCCCATCTTAGCCATTACTGCGAGTAGAAAGGGCCATTCAACTCTATCATAGGCCTTTTCCATGTCAACCTTCAGAGCCATATACCCTTTCTTCCCTCGCGTTTTTGTTTTCAGATAGTGCATTAGTTCATGTCCTAGCAGGACATTGTCCACAATTTGGCGCTCTCGAATGAAGGCATTCTGCTAGGAATGGCAATGGGGCAGGTCGGGGGCGGGTTTCTTGGTACCCAGACCCGCCCCGTGGCAGGTCGGGTCCAGGTCGGGTAATTGATCACGGGTCGCGGGTCGGGGCAGGTCGACCCAATGGGTATGCAATTTATATGAAAAACATTAGAAATATTCGTTATTTTTATTATAAGACTAAGAAAACAAACAATATTATGACAATTGTAGTTAAATTATTGGAGAAATTGAAGTTTTTACTAATTTACAACTTTATTATAGCTAAAATATGATGCAATAAAAGGAAAAATCTAAGTAATTTGACTAAGATTACATGTAATTTAGACAAGAACGGGTCGAGAATGGGGCGGGTCAGGGCAGGTCGGGTCGATGAGACTACCCATGCCCGCCCCGTCCCGCCTACGGGGCGGGTCGGACCCGCCCCAAAACAGGTCAAACAGGTCGGGTAAAACGGGTCAGGTCAAAATTGCCATCCCTACATTCTGCCCTTCCGTGATAAGCTCTGGGAGGAAAGTAGCCAGTCTTTCTGCCATTATCTTAGTAATAATCTTGTAAACGAACTGGCACAGACTTATAGGCCTCAGTTGTCGAATAGATTCCACATTATCCACTTTCGGGATCAAGGTCAACCAGGTGTGATTAAAGCTGCGAAGCATCTTACTCGTCGCAAAGAACGAGCAAACAGCTTCAATCACTGAAGTTCCAACGATATCCCAGAAAGTCTTAAAGAATTTCCCTGTGAATCCATCAGATCCAGGAGCCCGTTTGGAACCCATTTTAAAAACAGTGGCCCTTACTTCCTCCGGCACGACTGCCGCCGTAAGTCGCGCATTCATAGCCTCCGTGACTCGACAATCAATAGGAAGCTGATCCACCCGCTCTGACATATTACTCACTTGGCATTCAGACGTGAAGAGGTTATGATAAAAGTCAGTAGCAATATCAGCCTTTCTTTCCTCATTCGTGATCCAGTCACCCTCATTATTGTGAAGCCCAGCCACAAAGTTGTGTTTTCGGCGGGTCCGCGTTACCGTATGGAAGTAAGAGGAGTTCTGGTCCCCTTTTTTTAACCATCGAACCCTCGATTTCTGTTGCCAATAAATTTCTTCGGCCTCCCATTGCCTAATCAACTCCGATTCCAGATCACGCACTGAATCCCAGTCAATAGGGGAACTAGATTTGATTCGATCAATCTCCTTCTGCAGGGTTCGAATATTCCATAGAGAATTCGTCGTGCCTGCTCTACTCCAGTCATACAGCAAATGCCGTAACTTTTTGAGTTTCTCCCACAGCTGGAACATAGGGGTACCCGTGATTTCCTCCTGCCAAACAGAAGCCACCATAGCTTGAACTTCCGGGTTTTGCGCCCATCGAGCATCAAAACGGAAAAGAGGTCTGCTACGATGCTCATAAGGTTTGTCTGAGAGAAGCAAGGCGCGGTGATCCGACCCCTGGTCCGTAAAGTGTTTAACAAGAGTGTCTGGGAAGGTCGCCGTCCAAGAGTGAGAGCAGAGAGCTCTATCTAAGCGTTCCCTAATGCAGGCATTCCCCATTCGTTTATTGGTCCAAGTGAACGGGTCTCCCTGAAACCCTAGGTCAAGGAGACCTAGGTCATAAATAAAATTCCGGAGCCCGGCCGCTTGATTAGCATTCCAGGCGTTTCCCCCGTCTTTTTCACTAGCCTGGAGAGTAACATTGAAGTCCCCCATAACCACAAAAGGTATCTCAAAAGAATCGCAAACAGCCCGAAGCTGAGCCAACTGGCTAGTACGAATTGCTTCAACACAGCTAAAGTAAACAAACACCACCACATAGGAAAAATCCCTTTCATTAATACGAGTACAAATGCAAAGGTTTGAATGATAAATAACCGAAGCATCAACTCCGGGGACCCAGCCAACTACAAGACCTCCTGATGCCTCAACAGCATCCACAAAAAAACAATGCGACAAATGGAAACCTAAACCCCACATACGACGGGAAACGACTCTCCGGCGCGATCCTGTCTCTGAAAAGAAAACAAGGTCCGGTTTATTCGAATAAACTAACCCTACAACAGTTTGGAATGTGAGGGATGGCCCAATTCCTCTCACATTCCAGGCTAACAGCCTCATTTATCTGCTTGGGGCCACTCCAGGCTGGCTTCCTCCACCTTATCATCAGCAACTTCCACGAATTGTTTCTTAGGCGTGGGATCCTCTCCCACTTCACCTTCCACCTCCTCCAGAGGCCTTTTGCGTCCCTCAATAGACGTACCAGGAAGGTTCGAGCCATATTCATCAATCTCTGCTTCCAACAAAACACCCTTTCCCTGGACACCTTGTGATTTCACTGCCGCTATCCCATCACCCAGGATTAGGCCAGACTCGAAAGCGGCAACCACCTGGCGAACCTGGCCCTTCCCCTCACCCCGAGTTCCTGCCCCAGCTAGAACAGGCGATCTCTGTTTCAGTTCAAATGAGTGAGCATCATCTTCAGAGGGTGAATCCATCAGGGCCGAATCACTCAATCCTGGCGTCCGATTCACAGTTACTGGGCCGGTAAGAGATGCTCCAGTAGGCTCCGAAGAATTTGGATGGGGAGTCTTCGTCCTCAAGTTCCGATTCGGGCCTGCCTTGCCCGTGTCCGGCCTGGAAGCAGCCACAGCCGCCGCCTGAGGACCCCGGGCCGCCTTTCTTAGTTTAGACAGCCTCTGAGTGGGCTTCGGCACCTCACCCGGCCCAGCTCGGCCCTTCAACTTGATGTCAGACGAAGCCTCCTCCTTGGCAGCCCGACGCGGCTTTGAGGCCCGCTGCCTGGGTTTGATTGCCCCTGGCCAACTCCCAGGAGGCCCATTGAGGTTTTGCAGCCCATAGTCAGTATCTCCATTAGGCCCAGATGGACTTTTAAGCCCAGACTCAGCAGCAAGTGGCAGAGGATCTGGGTTCAGTGTCTTCATGGGCTGTTCTTGAGGTGGGCTTTGTGTGCCAGCCTTAGCTTGGGAAGTTTCTCCCTGAAACACAAAATCATCATCACTATCCTCCAGGAGGATTATCCTCCGCCGCCGACCGACTTCCACAGTCCCCATCGGGGTTTCAGAGTTCATCGAGAGATCTTCGGAATTCCTCCTGTCATCATCCTCCATCCCCGCGATTCCTTCACTCGACAGCCCTTCCATGGTGGGAGTTCGAATCCTCGCATTGCGTTGTTGCCCAGCCCTCGTTCTCGGCCCCTGAAGCGCCTTAACTCTCGGGGATTTCGACATTCTGAATCCCCGAGGGCTGTCACGGTGGGGCGAGGAGTTCGGGCGCACCCTGGGCATTTGGCCTCGCGAATCTAAGTGGGTACGGCGAGCAGAGTCCCCCTTGCCGCGTCGGACAATTGGCGATTGAACATTCCAAGTTACACTCTCCGACTGCGGGCTTGCTTCCTCCCCGCCATTTCGGCATTCCCCGACTTCCCCCGAACCTCTTGATTAACCCATACGGTTCTCCTTGCACCCCCATGAGGTTGGTGGTTGTCCTCTTGATCATAGATTTTCCGGCCCTGTTTCTTGGTCGTCATGTGGATTCCATAACGTTCTTTCCTAGCTGGTGGCTCGAAGTTGCATTCACTCTGCAGATGACCGACACGGCCGCAGTGGAAACAGAAACTGGGGAGATGTTCATATTTCAGGTTGACCCAAAAGTTTCCTGTTTCCTCACAGATTGCCAGGAGCTGGGATCGTAGTGATTTAGTGAAGTCAATCATCGTCCTTACTTTGAGAAAGCGTTCTCCCGTTTCTTTGCAGGCAAAGACTCCAGACTCTAGGACCTGGCCAATGGCAGTGGAAATCATCTTTTGGCCAAATTGTTTGGTGCAGCAATCCTCGGTAACTCCCCATATCTGTACGCGGAAAGGTGCCACGGCCAGATCGTCAAAGATGTTCCTCGTAATATTTGGGAGCCACGATCTCAGGACGAGGAGCTTGTCATTCACTACCCAAGGGGAGCGCTTCAAGATCCAGATTTTGGCTTCTTCAGTGGGCATCACGAACTCGAAGAGCCCATGCTTGGACTGCGTCACTCGAATCTGCCCCCTTCCCATCCATGGTTTGTTCACTCCCTCTCTGAGTTCCATTGGGGTAACTCTGGCATTCGAAAACACCCTCCCCAACAGGGTACGCGATGCTCGGAACCTCGTGGATTGAACCTCTTCGAGAGAGAATTGCACCACCTGATCCTCATTGATACGCGCCATCTCCAGTACCTGCGGGTTCGTCATAAGTGATGACAAGTTAGGGGAAGGCAGGCCACTCGACGGGGCTATCAATACAACAGGATTAGTGGGTAAGGACGGGATGAAGAGAGGCGCCATTCGAGGCAGCGGCCTACGAGCAGTGCTAAGAGCAGAGCACCTCAATGAGGGATTACCTGGAAGAACACCTTCTGCCCCTCGTCGCCTTCTTTGGAAGGAAAGTGTCACCCAATCCACCGCAACTGCAATTGAGCAAGACTCTGAATCGTTGAGTTGCAATTGAGGAGGCGGGCTTTTAAATAGACTGGCTACCCCTTGATTCCCACTGTAAGGTGGACACTTAACAAACTTCAGAGGCAGAGTCCGAGTGGGATTGGGGAATTTAGAGTCGTTGTTGTAACCGTGAAGAATATTGGAGAAAACCTCCTGAATCCCTAAAAACCAGGGATGATTATTCGGAATTAAAATTTTCTTGTTATCCAAGAGTTTACATCGCCGCCGCAACCGGGGATGGCCGGCGGGAATGGTCGAACACTTTGGCGGCCGGAGACCAGTGGGCCCCATGGCCTTTCGCCAAATTTGGAAAGCCGCGGCGTCAAGGTTGGACTTAGGTTCTGGGTAGTTCTCCGGTTTCCCCTGGGCTTGAAGCATCGGATCCGCCAAAATATCCCGGGAGGGCGTCCCCATATAACCCTGATCATTCAAGCTGGGGGGATTCGTCTCCTCCAAATCATACGAGGATGGTAACAGGAATCGCCAGCCCACTTTGGGGTTTTTCTTACGGCGTTTGTACCCATCCATCCGATCAAGATCGCCAGCAGAGCGTTTCTTGACATTGCGTTTAACCCTTAAAGCAAGCTTTTGAGTCTTATGGTCCCGAGGGGCACTTCCATCTTCTCGGCCCGAGAATGAGAGCCGAAGCTCAGCCGTTGATCGCCAGTTGAAAAAATTCAGCACAACCACGTTCTCTGAAGCGATGGGTTGCCATCTTCGCCAGTTTGATTCTTGATTGCTTGCGCTGGCCTTGAAGACCGTCACCAGGGCGATGAAGATGATGCGGCCGGCCGCGCAGCAGAAGCTGAGGAGAGAGGCGAGAGCTTCCCTCATTTTCTTTTTTTCCCTAATCCAACCACTAGTATGGTACAATTAATACTAGAAAACCAAGGTCCAAATTCATCGTCTGACGGGCCTCGAGGTATATTCATAGGTCCAAGCCTCAAGTCTTCCTGCCCAACCTCATTCTTATGACACAAAGAAATATGTGTACAAAGAAATAGGCAAAATACACTGTCATAGCCATAACTTTCACGTTTTTGACAAATATAGCCATAACTATTGGAAAACACAAAATAGCCTAAAAATTGGATGTTAGTGTGACAAATCTAGCAATTTCCGTTAGAAACTTTAACGGTGTTTAGAGACTCCGTCAGTTAGGTTAAAGTTAGGCTGATTAGGATGCCAAATCATCGCACACGTCAGCGACAACTCAAACACACTTGCCATGTAGATGCCATGTCATATTTCAATAAAAATAAAAAATAAAAATTCTTTCTGCCATATTGATTTTTTTTGCGTCGCCAGTGGCTCAAGGGCTCCATCCTCCATAGCTCGCCGAACACAGTAGCTGATCGAAAAAAATAGAAGAACCCATCTTTGCGAATCTCTCCATCATCATATCGACTTCTGCACACAAAGTTTTCACTGGACCAATAATAACCTAAAACCCATCTCTGCCGCTCATCCAAATCCCCCCAAATTGAATAACCCATATGTTTGGGGCTGCCATTATCATACTGGAATCAGACGAGAAGAGAAGCTGGAGTCAGTCTTGAGCCGGAGTGGGTCTTCTTCAGCAACGACTGCAATGGTGGGCGCTTCTTCTTTGTTTGAATCTGTCAGCGGCAGGGGTGGATGAGTTATTGGTGGCGGTGGCGACATCGTGATGGCGACGATCGACGTCTTGTTGCTGCTGCTGGATCTGGACGTAGAAAATGGGCCGAGAAACAAGAACGGAGCACCGCTAACCCCCGCCACCGCTGTCGTCGTCATCGGACCTTGCCGTTGCAGCCTTCAGATCTGAGTTGTCGGCGGCGATGGCGACGGTCGACGTCTTGTTGCTGTTTTTTTTTTTTTTGATGGGCTGTCTTGTTGCTGTTGTTGGATCTGGACGGAGAAAATGTGGTCGAGAAACGAGAACGAAGCATCGCTAACCCCTGCCGCCACTGTCGTCGTCATCGGACCTTGCCGTTGTAGCCTTCAGATCTGCTGCACCTCCTCCATCGATTTGTCACCAACCCAGATCCCCAATGTCGATTTCCCCATCTGCGTTGCTGTTAAATTAAGCCCGCTTCCGTCCCTTCCAACAATCGAAGCGTCGTCCCTCACCAACACAGATCGTATGGTTTTACTATCTGATGGAAAATGGAAGAGCAATTGAGAAGAGAGGGGAAACATCTTTGTGACGGGAGAGGAAAGATGAGAGAGGGGAGAGAAAATAAAAAATTAAATTAATTAATTTTTATGTTTTTTTTATTTTTTTCTCTATAATCCATGTCGGTTGGTGGGGTAAATCAATCGTCAACTCAGCTTCTTCTGTTAGTCCAGTCATGACGTCAACTGACGTCGTTAACAAAATGGACGGAATTGGCTATTTTGTGTTTTCGGATAGTTATGGTTATATTTGTCACAAACGTGAAAGTTATGGCTATACAAGTGTATTTTGCCAAAGAAATATGTAACAAGTTAATTATTTTGATGATGTAGATAGAAGTATAAAACCGTAACTTTTTAAGTTTTAAATCGCAGTTAATTTTAACTGCATTGCTGATAGCCAAATAGACTAGCTGTGAATTGTTGCTTTTAAAGCGAGAGACGAATTAAATGTTCACGACGATGTTAACTTTCATATGATATATATTTTAACTATATGCATCAAGAAGTCATCTGAACTTGAGACTATCGCCTTTACTTTTTGCTGCCCTCATCTATTTCCTGATTAACAGGAATCAACAAATGATGTTACCATCATACAAAAACTGCGCTCTAAAACAAAGTTATCAAGATGTCGATTCACGTTACATTAACTAAAGCATCAGACCGCGGCAAAGCACAAGCGAGAGTTGAAGATGCACGCCTGTGTGTGTCAAGAACACCTAATCTGAAATATAGTGAAGTCTCCTAATCCTGCTTCGAGTTCAGATGTGGAAGAGATGAAGACGGTGGTCATCTCTCTGCAAGCTTCCTCTTTGTGCTCTCCAACACACCAAAAAAGATCGAACCTCCGATTCCTATCCATAGCACCCTCGGCCCTATGCCCTGCGAAATGAAGACGAGTGAAATGTTAGATAATGCTGGAAGGAAAAGGGGAAGAAAGGATCTTCCTTTCTTATCTTTTGGCCCTTATTCCTGTGGTTAACTATCACCAAAACAAAACACAAAAATAGATGGGTGGAGAAACCTTTAGAAGAGCAGCAGGTCCTTCCTCCCTAATGACAGTTTGAACACAATCCATCACTCCTTTGTACTGGTTGGCTGATCCCTGTGGTTTTGTTTACAGTCAAATTCAAAACAGAAGGATCAAAAAACATTTAGTTCAAAGAGATGATGGATCAATTGTGCATTGTGGTGGGCAAAGATTTGTTCCGGTTTTGACCAAAATATAATTTGACTTGGTTCTTAAATTGAAGACCTTTCTTTTGGTTTCGATTCCATAAATTAACCTAAGAACAAAGGAAATGGGGAACAGCATTGCATAGAATGCATTTTTTATCCGACTTTCGTCCTCATTTTTCCTTCATTCTGATTTGGTCCTACACTGACCCTAGTTATGAGCATCCTTCATGGTCTTATTCGACGATCCCTTGTTCTTTCCAAAGCTTAATCTAGGAAATGGAAAGTTAAGAGTGCAGGAGCAGATAACCTGAATCATTAGTCTTGTCTTAATCACATCAAGTGGAGTAGTCACTGCTCCAGTTACAGCACCTACAGAAGTGAGGAAGAGGCTCAGTATGCACATAATTAAGGTGGAAAGGTGGTACATCAGGTTGCAAATTGCAATCAGCAATCAGTCAATCATACAAAAGAGTAACAGAAAATGGGGGTTTGAAGGATCAAAGTACTCAAAGTTACCAGCAAAAGCGCCAATCACAGCATTCTCGGCATCGTTGAGATCTCTTTGTGCCTGGCAAGAGAATGAGACGACACAGGTGTATTAATAATGTTTGTCACAAGACAAAGAGGAAACTTGACATGTAAAGTTCTAAAAAAAGACAGGTTGTGGAACATACTGCTATTTTATAACCAATCCGAAGCTGCTCGTAAATGCAAAACTGAATAGCATCAAATGGCAGATCACGCAATAAGAATGATCCATATCCCTGCATTCAACAAATGAACCCGAAATTTACATAGCTATGAGCAGTTTTAAAGTGGAATCAGTAATATCTTAGGTTTCATCCATTTATTGCAGTATTACGCATGAAAATACAGAAAAGGACATCCTAATGTACCATAAAGAAGATTTTTTTTTTCAACTCGCCTAAGGCTAAAGATCGATTACACTCAAATCCTTTGAAGGTTAACAAAATGACATTCTACATTTAATAGAAACATAACCAAGATATCAGATTACATACCGCATAGAGACCCTTAAATCCTTCCTTTGAGACAATGAGGCGTACAGCATTGGGAGCAGATGAAAATTGCCCCATTTGCATCCTTGTTTTAACAACCTGATGGTTCAAAAAATCGTATCATTATCTTGTGGATGATGGCAAATCTGTGGGGAAAAAAAGATGAATTATACTAAAAACTGAACCTCTGTTGGTACACGAACAAAAGAAGCAGCAAGCCCTCCTATGACACCTGCAGTCTGCGTTAAGTGCATTATATACCACAATTAAGTATAGTTTGTCATAGCCACATTAGACCCAATGAGAGCAATGTTTTCAGATTTTTAACCTGCTTAATATAGTAACTTGCACAACTGAAAGTACAAGTGACATAGATTACAAAGCAGAAGCCGAATCAAATATCTTGTGCAAGAGCTGAAAACGCAGATCTTACTAGATGAGCAAAAGCACTAAGATTTTCAGGAAAAGCTTTCAATAACTTCTGTTTTGCTGGCTCATATACTCCGACAAACAAAGCAGAAGCCCTGCACACAATACAAGAACGCCTATATCAATCCCAATTCCGTCAGCAAGAAAATCGATGAAGCACGAGACGGCTACTGGAAAGGAATTCTTCAGACAATTATACTTAGAACAAAATGCTCACTTTCTTACCACTAAGAGTTCAGGGAGAGAATGAAAGCAAAAATAAAGCGAATTTATCAATTCGACACATGAAAGTTTATCTAACTTCCTACACTAGCTACATTGTTCAATCAATTGCCAAATAGCAGCAAGATAGAGCTTTGACACTGCAACTCAAACTTACGGTAGGACGCCAGCAATATTTCCAGCCAAGCCAGAGTAAAGACCCTTCCAGACTATTTGTCCTCCACCACGAACTGCCTGCAACATCAAAAAGCACAAAAACCTCAGCAAATACCTATACTTAACCATCATTTCCGATTATCGAACCAGCCATTCACAATCGACTAATCAATCTCCACACGTTGCTATGGAGGTTAATGTTATTGAAGGAATCAAGCAATATATTCTACGAAATAAAGCTAAATTCGAAACAAATAATGAAGCGCTACGGCCTACGAGGCAACTAGAATGGCGACGACTTAACCTGCCTGCAACCTTGTCTTGATAGTATCAATGGGATACAATGCTGTTTCAACTACAACACCAGCAGCACCTCCAGCGATTACTCCCTCTGCAATATTTTCAACAGGGCAGTAGTCAAAATCCATCACAAAACACGCCATTGATTCAGCTTTTACATCAACAATTTGAACCCACAGAAGGTTACTGAAGCTACCAAATACAGTTCGCAAGAAATCGAATGGATTCTCCTCTTCTCCTTTAGCACTGAGCGAGGCGAAAGGCTTGCTGCGGCTTTCTAGATGAGCGATGTGCATTTTTCCGCCTGAGAAATCCAGAGGGTTCAGAACACCGACAAATTCGTGCTCTCGAAGCGCCATTTGCATAGGTGAAATTCAATTTTCGCTTACCCGAAGCAGTCTTCGTTGTAGTATCCACAGCTAGCGTGAGAGGAGCCATGGTCACAAAGCTGCTTCGAAGCTCGATTGGAGAGTGTTTACTCACCGGTGCTTTCGCCGGCAAATCTGCTCGGGGCCGACTGGCAGATATCTCTCTCTAGTCTCCAGCGAGAGGAAACTGACGGGGGAAACCAGAAAAGTAACGTTGTCAAGCCGGTTTCGCAGGTTGGCCTGATTGAGGTAATGAGTTATGGGTTAATGGTTCGATTACTCGATTTTAATTAGTAATTAGTATTAGTTCAGTTTAGCTCGATTTAGTCTACAGCTATGAAAAAATTATTATATATATATATATATTGACTACTTCGGTGCACTCACTTTTTCTCTAAAAGTGTCCATAATACATTAAATTTTGAACTTTAATTAGTACAATCAATCTAATATGATGATATGACATAGAATCATAACAAATCAATCTATTACCCTAACCCCTTAACCTTCAATTTTGAATCCCAACCCAAAATCCCAAATTGTAAACCTAAACCCCAACCCTAAAATCCCTAAATCCTTCAAATTAATGAAATTATAGTAAATTTTGAATGAATTTTTTTCAAATTCATGTGCTTCTTGTTCATTTTATCATAAGCAACAATTGATACCGTTTTGACATGAATCGCATGATCAGAATGACAATTATGAGGCGGGTGCATGCACCGAATACGGCGCGCACACACACACACACACATATATATATATATATATATATAAATTATATCTAATTTCATATAATATGTAGATAGCAACATGTAAAATTACACCAAAATAATAGTTCGTACTTGAATCAAACATATAGATAATATTCTAACATGCTTAAATCTACCACATAACATCAATATTCAAACATTCCTTAGTTCAAAAAAAAAATGTTCAACTTAGAATTCCAAATAAAAAAGTAAAGTATTCAATCTTCAAAGATAAAGACATTCATCTTCATTGCATCACCGATATGAGAAATGTCAAAATCAATTTCATCAATCACATCATAGTTAAAATCATCTGCATCAACTATGAATCAAATATTCATAATTATTCCAAATAACAAGATCATAATTGTATAGACTTCTTCATAGATGCTATAATAATATTAATAATAAATCTTCAACACGAGGACTCTTTCTAAATGACGAGTATAATTCCTCCTCCTTCTCATAATTAAGAGTCTTTTCAATCTCCTCATAGTATATCTGTAGGTGGATCTTCTTCTACGATCCAAAAATTGAGGTAATCTAATTGCTAATAATCAATTGGATCTTTCGCTCACTCATTCTTCAAGCACCTATAAGTCAAAGAAGATAAAAACAATAAAGTATATGAAGTATTAACTTTACAATGTTGCATATAAATTATAGGGTAAATACAATTTATTAACTTTTCACTCACTCATTTTTCAACCTCATATTGCAAGTCACATAAACAAGATCATTCAATCTTTGTTGCTCTAATCGATTCCTCCGCTTGCTAAGGATCTGCTCAAACAAACTCTAGTTTCACTCACATGAAGAAGAAAAGGAAGTTGAGACAAAAGTCGCACAAGAATCTTCCTCCAGTTTGGAGCATCCTCTCCATATAGTATCCGCCATTAAACTATTCATTCAAGCAAATTATTCTAAATAAGTACATAGAATTTGAAAACACTACAATATAATATGTAAATGTAATTACAATTGGTTACCTAGAGGTAAAGTGGAAGCATACGATATAGTTGTTTTCTTCCCAAAGCTTCCAAGCCTCTCTATAAAGTCTAATTTCCTGAACTGCTTATGAGACATTATCACATAGGCCTTCAGTGTCAAGGAGATCAACAAGACAAGTTTGAACACTACACTCAGCTCGACCTTCATCGATATATTGAAAAACAAGGTTCATAAAATATGCAGCTCCATAGATGTTATATGATGCTTATCCCATCTACCATAAAATAACTTCACATAAGTATCATACCCTCTTCCATTGCCAATACAAGTGTTATTGATGGGCTTTTTTATCCTCATCATTCCATCAGCGCATATCCCAAAGATGATTGCTCATCAAAATCAACTATGCTAAACAACTTCACAATTGGCAATGTCAACTTCACCATCACTCAAAACTCTTGTAAAAATTATTGTCCAACACAATAGACTTTATGTGTGTTTCCCTCTTTAGACTTTTCCAATTTGTGAGATGCAAAGATTCTACTTTTGACAAGTTATTCGAACAACGACCTATGACCATAAACACTTTTCAAGCATATGAAACTTATACCAAATCAAGTAGTTCATGAATGCACAATGTGCTTCCAACCTTCTAACTTTTTCAAAATAGAGCTAAGAGAAGAAGATGACTATAGACAAACACACAGATCTTCTAAGCTCTAGTGACTAAGCTTGACACATGTCTCATCTTGTGTAAACATATAAGTAGAGTAAAATATTTCAGGGCACGAAGTTAGGGTACTATATATTACTACATGTAAAATTTGGTAGGGGTTCATGCATTGTTATGTTTTTTTAATGAGTCTTACTAAAACTGTATATACCAAGGTTGTCAATCTGGTTTAGCCCGTTGACATGATCAAACTAGTGGGTTAAGTGTAAATGGACAGCTAAGTTTAGACCAATTTAGCATGGTTTAGCCCACATCTATAAAAAAAGTAATTATATTATACATATATATAAATTATATCAAATATCATATAATATATAGATAATAATATATAACGTTGTGCTAAAATAACTGTTCATACTTGAATCCAACACATAGTAAAAATTCGAACACACTTAAATCCACCACATAACATCAATATTCAAATGTAATACTTAGAATTCCAAATAAAATAATAAAGTACTTAGTCTTCAAAGATAAAGACATCCATCTCCATTACATCATCTATACGAGAAATATCGAAATCAATTTCATCGATCGCGTCATAATCAAAGTCCTCTTCATCAAAACATGAAATAAAATATTCATAATTATTACTAATAAGAGAGAGGAGAAAGAGAGAGAATAATGGTGATGAATGGTGGTGGGTTTTGTTTTTTATATTTCGATCAAATCTTAGCTCAACTGATTTTTTTTTTGTTCCAAATAGGTTCGAAAACGCACATAATACATGATCGATATAACCGAACGGACTAAATATCCACCCAAACTTCCATGAGTGGCATCTAAAACAATGAGTTATATGATTCCAAATTTATTTTTTTATGGTTATGATTCCAAAATATTAAGGACCTCAAAAAAACTTTCTTTGTGAAAAAGTGAGGCTTCCACATATACAAGTCTTTGCACCTAAAATCCCTCAAAGGGATATTAAAATCCCTCCATGGGATATTTAGGGGTCGTTTGATTTTGGTGATAGTTTAAGTGAGATTGGTACAATGGATGCATTGTCAACAATGTATCGTTTTTCTGAGTTTTTTTCTGCAACAATGCATCCATTGTTTTGTTGATGTGATGGAAAGAATCACTCAAAATGAGTGATATTACTATCTCAAGTAAAACTTGAGAATGTTGAGATAATTTAGTGGGGATTGTTTGATTTTTTTTCAATTATAACCCTAGTTATTTATCTATATTCCCATAATACCCTTGAAATTTATTATCTAATCTGCTCCGTATTTTTCCGAGAACACCCATGCTCAGTTCGCTCCACTTTTGTAGGATGTCTCTACCACCCGCTCAATTTAACACCCTCCCCCTTCAAAATTTCATCGTCGGTCTAGCCTCCTCGGTCTCGTAGTCAGTCTAACATAAGCAATTAGTGTATGTATCCTCAAGTAGAATACATGTGTCTATATCCATTGCTTAAAGAGGGTTAGAATTACTACAAATTAGTGTTCCTATATAACCTATAAAATTAACCTATAAAATTAAGGATAAAAGTGATATTTCATACAAAAAAGAAATACAACTTTTTGAATGATAAAATAACTATCTCCAAAACCAAACAAGATAAACTACATTACACCATTTTCCGTAATTACTTGTATATTAAAATGCATGTATTGATCACAATACATTGATTTAAGTATCACCAAAACCAAACGACCCCATAATACTTGTGCTAGTTGCATGTTCACACATCCATGCATTGTCAACATCCAAGCACTAGAGAGTCCAAAAGTATTGTAAATGAGTGGAGCTAAGTTAGGTTAAACGAGTCCAAACATCATCAAAGGTAGACTAATTTAATAAAAGGTAATATCTCTTATTTATCCAAACCTTTTTCATATTCTTTTATATTATTCAAAACTATCGAAATACTAAGAATTAGTCAAATGTTAGTTTTCAGTTAGCAATTTTGTTAGTAATATTGACTTGGCACTATGATACTGACTTGAAAGAGACACATGAACGTCAACATTCCAAAATTTTCGTATTTTAACTAAGAAAAGAATTACAAAATTATTAACGACAATGTAAAAATGGCTAATATTTTGATGCAATACAAAAGATTTGGCTAATTAATAGCATTTTAATAGGTTTGATAATATAAAAGAATCTGAAAAATGTTTGGATAAAAAATAGACATTACCCTTTAATAAACATTGGCTCAAGTTTGACTCGAGTTCGATTCGAGCTGAGCTCATTAATGAGCTCACGAGATCAATCTACTCGAGTTCAGTTCGAGCTCACCTCATTTATGATTCTCAATAATCGAACCATTAACATAAAATCTAAAATCGTTTATAAATTAGATACCCTAATATTTATATACCATATATGATACATCTACTTAATGTCTTTATGATAGTAAATTTTTCATGACTAATTGATCACATGCGTGTATACTTTGTTGATATCATATTTATTTCATAAATTCTAACTAGTTCATGTCATGTTATTTAATAGTAATTAGTATATGAGCAATCTATAATCGATAATTTCTTTTTTAAATTATAAATGAGACATATATGATTACATGTTCAAACTCTTAGATTATCTTTGTGAAATGTATAATCTAACAACTCTATGAACTATCAACAAGTTAACTCATAAACCATAGAACAATTCGTTAATAAGTCGTTAGTCAAGTTGGCTAGCTAGGCACACTATCGAGCCAGCTCACGAGCCACGAATTGAACTTATCTATCGAGTCAAGCTAGCTCGTGAGCGCGACAAACTGAACAAGACCCAACTCTAACACGATTCATTAGCTAGTAAACGGAGATGGATTTCAAACTTGTTTTCTCATTG